TGGATACAGTAAATGTTTATTTTAAACTCATTCAAAACATTAAGGATGTCTTTTGGATTTATTTGAATAAATTCTATTATATGTCATAGTTATGTACATTTTAAAATGAAAGTATGCAAAATACAACGCAAGGTAAGCAAAAATACAGTGTTTCTAAAACACAGAGGCCACGTCACTTTCTGTGCAGTGTTTGATGTCTTGTTTGCCCACACCCTTGTCCTCAATGCCCCTGAGAACCTTGGTGACACACTCATGCCCAGACTGCAAGTTCTATCTCTAGAACTGTTGACAACTATTCTACAAATTTGGAAACTGGCACTTTATCATACAGGGAAAAAAGTCAGTGAAAGGTTTTTAGACAATGACCTGGATTTACGATGCTTCCTCAAATAGTCATTATGATTTGTTCTCAAATAGTTGCTGGTGGAAAAGCCAAGGGATTACAGTTAGACAATCGTCATGCAACAAGAGTCCTACATGCACAAGCAATGCCATCTATGTTACGGCTGCCACCTTTTCGGCAATTGCGAGACACTATCGATGACTCTATTTTCATAAGTAGTGTTAGAATGTGAGAACTTATGTGCCTTAGAAGATCTGCAGTATGATAATGTTCATGCTAATAGCTAGCCTTCCATGAGTGACTAATATGTGTCAAATACCTATTCTATTCCTTATGCATATTATATCATTCAATCTTATGAAGTAGATACATGTTAGTATTTGAAAATATAGATCATACAATTTGTTCCAAGGACACATAACTAACTAGTAAGCGGCAGATCTGGTGTTCAAACTTGGTTCTCTCCCATATCACACACAGCTTGTGTTTTTTTTTCCATAGCTATCTGGTTATAAATATTTAAGCAGTGACCCGAAGAGGGGTCTCTCAATCATACAGAAAAAAGATAATCTCTTCATCAGCAATTTTCTTTGAATAACAGACAGAGCAAAGAGCAATTGTGTGAACAAATGTCAGATTTATGTATCCATGAATTATCACAAAACTTCCAGAAAAGGAGAGAGATGAAACATTGTCTCCTATTTGAGAAAGAGAAAAAGAACTGCTATATCAGCTAGAAGCTGTGATGACTGCTAAAGAAACATTTTCTGGAACATGCCATATGTCACACATAACGACTTCATTTCTCCCCAGTTAAACAAAAAACTCTGCAATTTTCAAATAGAGGAAAAGTTCATCTATACTTAATGTATAATAAAGAGTGTATTTGGACAAAGGACAGTAAGTGTTTTATTTGCACTGGTTATATTTTCATTAATTAAATATCCTTTTCACAAAATATATGGATCTTTGTCTCACTCAAATCAGAAACCAATATGAACAGGATGCACCATTAGCTCCTAGCTTATTAATGTTAAACTATCTCCTACACTTTGAACCAAAGTAATTAATGAAAAACAAACAAACCGATTCTTCTGTGGAAATCTCCTTCTCTTCAGGAGACAGATTTCTTTTTCCATAAGCTATTTTTATGTGCATGTAGAGGCTTCAACAGTCCCTCAAGAATAACTTTGTTGGCAGACATGAAACAAAGCGGCTGTGCTCAGTATCATATTCTCCATGTTTGCCCGCTTAGAAAAAAAGCACAGGGAAAGAGCTCCTTGACATTGGTCTTGGCAATAGATTTTTGGCAAACAAAAGCCAAAGCAAAAATGACATGTGGGACTCAATCAAATAAAAAGGCTTTAGCACAGCAAATGAAATCATCAACAAAATGAAAAGGGCAACCTACAGGATGGGAGAAAGTATATGCAAATCACACGTTGATAAAGGGTTAATATCTAAAATATACATCCAAAGGACACAGAGTCGGTATCTTGAAGAGATAACTGTATTCTCATGTTTATTGCAGTATTATTCATAATAGCCAAGATGTGAAAACAACCTGTGTCCACTGATATATGAATAAAGAAAATGTAATATACATACCTACATATCTATATATCTTCCTTTGCAATATATATATATATACACACACAAATATACAAAAGAACATTATTCAACCATAAAAAAAGAAGGAAATCTTGCTGTTTCAACAACATGGATGAATCTGCAGGACCCTATGGCTGAGTGAAATCAGCAAAGAAAGAAAGACAAAGATTGTATGATCTCAGTCATAATGTGGAATCTTAAAAAAAAAATAGTAGAACTCATAAAAATAGAGTAGACTGGTTGTTGCCAGGGGCTGGAGGAAATGGAGAGACATTGGCCAATGATGAACAAGTTGTAAAATGAACCAGTTCTAGGATTCTAAGGTACAGCATGGTGCCTGTAGTTAGAATACTATATTGTATGCTTACGATTTGCAAAGACCGTAAATCTTATCACGCACGCACGAAGGTCAGATATGTGAGATAATGGATGTGTTTCTCAATTTGTGGTAGTCATTTCACACTGTGTACGTATATGAAATCTCATCGTACACTTGAAACACACGTAAATTTATTTATCAATTATACCTCAGCAGAGCTGGAGAGATTGAAAATAAAAAGATATATTATTGCTGATTTCTTCCCAAAATACATATACAAAGAGAAAGGAATTTCCATAAGATGCGCACAGTGTGCATGTGTGTGTGTGATAACTTACACATTTTTAAAGGAAATGGAACTGAACTATGAGATGTGACCTTTTCAATAGAACAGAAGATATTGAAATCATAAACAAGTCGAAACACTAGGAAAAACCTGGTGCTATTAAGTATTCTATTTTTAAGCACACCACAGACATGCTAATACAAGCAGAACCCATTTTCATTTAAGGGACAGCTAAATCGTGTTGAAATATTTTAAGGTAAACATTCTGAATAGTAGCGTTTAATCTTATATAAGCTAATAAAAATTGCATTTAGGGTTTTATAAAATTCATACACTTGCCTAATGATGTTTACTCTTCCTTATAGGTAACCCATTTGGTTGACTGATGGACATACAGATATAGCAATATATGTAACGCTTAATAAGCAGCGACATGGTAACGAAGAATATCACAAACTCTGAATACCAATAGTGAATCAACATCAGTTAGCCCAGTTTGTGTACATTATAAATGAAAACAAGAGCACTGTTCTACAATAACCTCAGCTTTATGAATAAACTATAAGTCTTCTGAATACATAAGCTGTAAAAGATTCAGTGTTAAGTATCGTGTCCTTGGGTATTCATAAATTTTTTTTGTGGCCATTGCCTATAAATGTCTCTATATTTTTAAAGCGTACATTTCAAGTGTTCTAAAATGCAGAGGAAGTCTGAATTTTTACATAGTACGTACATGAAAAAAAGGAACTTTAGAGTAAAGCCATTTTTTTCTTTTTGTGTAAGTGCTTTGCATTTTTAATGTACACTACTACCCCACCCCTTATATTTCTCCAAGTTGTAGGAATATTATACAGTTTTTCTGTTTCTACATATAAAAGTATCAGACATGCAAACCTTAGGTTACATGGAGTTTTGATACCGACCCGAGTCCATGTACCAATAGCAATCATATTACCCGGGAGCTTGTTGGAAATGCAAGACTTCACGTCCCACCCCAGACCTACTAAATAACAATCTGCATTTTTAATAAGATCCCCAGTTACTTCCTTACACATAAAGTGGGAGAAGTACTGATACTTTAGGATACTTTACTGATTGGTCTAATTTTCTATAAATTAACCATATCTAAACAACTACTTACAATATAAGTAAGCTTACAATCTAGTGCTTTCAATGTAAGTAAGCATTCCATGTGTATCCTTTATTTTTTGCGATATTTAAGATTTGGTGTATCACAAAGTCACCAAGGGAACTTGTCACAGACATAGATTTTCAAATTTTTCCCCAGAGTTTAGAATTCAGTAGGTCTAGGGTGAAGCCTGGTCTCCCAAAACAATGATTACCCTGAACAGAATCAAAGTTAGTGATAATATCACTTCTTGTTGACAGCTCCAAATCATAGGAAAACATCTTACACACAAGAAAGTCACATGCAAATTGTTTCTGTTAGGTTCTGAAAATGCTTCAAGCTTTTTCTATGATCATTAATCATAGAGTGAAAAACATGGTGTCAAATGGGCCTGGTTCCATTCACGGAACATGATGAAATCATTCTCCCTCAGCTCCTTCCCCCACCCACCCCTAGCCCCAAGGAATATCATTATCTTAGCCAAAGGATAACTAAGTAATTTACTGGAGATCTTAAGAAGTGGTCAGGGCCGCACTGGAACTAACTACTTCTTGTGCTAGGAAATAAGATGAATATATTCTGCAAAGTACTTACTAGAACCCTCCAGAGGTCCCAAATACAAATGCATCCAAGAGCCATCAGGTGACCAATGGGGGAAACTGGGATTGTGATACCCCAAGTACGGACATTCAAGTTCAAAACATAAAAAACTTCCACATGGAACAAACAACATCTCTGAGGGCAGCATTCAGCCCTCGACCTGCCAGTTTCCAGTATCTATATTAGCATGGTTTTTCTTATTAATTTTCTGGTGACCTATCAAAGGGCATATCTTGTATTAATTTGCTCATACAACTTATTCGGGGACTTTTGGGAACTTTGTTGTAATTTGGATTTTACTGCAGCGGCAAAACACGGTGATACAGCAGGTCTCTAATCTACATCAGGTGCTGAAACCCAGGGAGGGTTTAAAGACATAGTAAATAAGCTATAGCCATAATCTAGGGGTTTGCATGGTCCTATTTTTTCTATCAACTTTTATCATAGAGCTTACATTTATATTCTTTTATCCTACACCATTTACCATCCGCAGAGAAATGACAATTAGAGTTTTTGTGGAGTTGAGTGCTTGTCTTCATCTGACTTGCTATCGATCATTATGGTATCATAGTGTAATAATGCTAATTTCCTACACTGCTTTGGTTTTGCGTGATTATGAAAGATTTAAGATGTCCAAAAACATCACCGTTTCCAAATTTTACCTAGAAGTAGCCTTACACTACAACTTGGAAAATGAAAACAGAATTGTTCACATGATCAATATGTACTTTTATTTTAAATACCAGCACAACAAACACAACGACACCACAGGACTATTACCTCGAAGATACTGATAACATTCCTTGACAGGTTGGCTTATAATTTACATACATTGTTTTATCTGGAACTATTTTTAAATATTATCATAAGATATAGTGTAAAACACAAATCTTAAATATACCAGTTGCAAACATAGTGCGTGGTTACTCTTTTGCATACGAAATGATTTAAAGTTCCTCAAAATCATGTCCACTTGTGTTCATTGTTTCAGGATGCATGACTCGTCCCATGAATAGGACTGTACCTGCATTGGGTTGGAAGTGAACAGAACAGGATGTGAACAGAAAAATCTACTTTCCTTCTTGCTTACAATTAGCAGTGTCCTAAAGGTAAAAATATAAATAGTTCTCTTTTTAAACAAATCATTGGAACATTAGAAATCACCGGACAAGTAATGTGGGAAGAAAGCTCTTGATTTTAAAAAATTCTCTCTCTTGAGCCTCTAAAGAAAGTTCCATTCTCACAAGGGACTTACCTGTTCTCCTGTTCCTGATAAGAAAGAAAAATGGATGGTCCACAATAACTTGAGGATACAGCACAGCCATCCTACTAATTGCAATCATTCCTACAGCACAGAGAGAAAGTAATTACATGTCTGTGCGTGTGCAGAGACTAATGAGTAATTTGTCCAAACCATCTATGTTTAATGCAAAGGCAACAATTTATAGGAAACACAATTTTAAAGACTTAACGGAGAGAAAAAATTGTCAAGGTGGCAACATTTCTACTTGCTCTTTAAACACACACCGTTTCCTACCTCCACTCCACCAAAAATACCAGAAAAATTTATTCTGCTTGTCTCAAAATTTTTATTCTGAGTTTCAGATAAATACATATGGCTTTACTAAAATGACCTTTGAGTTACGAAAATGGGGAGAATTAGCAAACACCCAAAACCGAAAAACCAAGTTTCTTTATATTCCCAAATCATTATTTTCTTTTGTCTAAAATGGGGATTTTTACATAGCAAGTCACCAGGCTTCTAGTAAGTGGCCAGAATGGCAGTGATTAAAGGAAAAGTACAGCAGTAAGAGAAGCATGATGTTTCCTACAGCTGGGAAACTGAATTCCCCTGAGATCCTTATTATGGGATAATCATTTTATACTTGCTGCAGGGTGATTCATTGTCAGGAAAAGGTCAAAATTAAATTACCTACGATTCTAAGCTTTCTTGATGCCCAAGACTACTGTATTTCTATTTCCTCCTGAAAACACTGTTTTAACTGGTGATATCCTTTTAGTGGGCACATTTATGCAGAAGTTTTTTTTTTTTTTTTGAAATGACAGGTTATATTTTACCAGAGGAAGTAAAAACCCTACTAAAAATTAAACACAGCTATTGAACATGAGATTGAAACAAATCCCAAAAAAATAAACGAGAAAAATGTCAACGGAAAAATCATTCTTATTTAACTGGGGAAATTGGAACATTCAGAATAATAAGGACATTTAACATTTTGTTTTGAACATAGGATTTAGGTCAAAATTTTAGAATTATTTATTTAACATTATTTTATCAACATTATTCAGTTAAAATTATTTAAAATTATTTAAAATTATTTAAAAGTCTTATTCATATGTGCGCTTTTAAAAAATCAAACTGTTGACAAAATTAAGAACTAGTATCCAGGGGCACCTGGGTGGCTCAGTCAATTAAGCGCCTGCCTTAGGCTCAGGTCGTGATCCCGGGGTCCTGGGATGGAGCCCCACCTTGGGTTCCCTGCTCAGTGGGGAGTCTGATTCTCTCTCCTTCTGCCCCTTTCCTCCACTTGTGTTCTATCTTAAATAAATAAAATCTTAAAAAAACAAAAAACTAGTTTCCACAAGTAATTAGGTAGGAAGAGGAACGTTTAAATGGGCAACAAGAAAATACTTAAAATATTTAAACAGGTAGTACAGCAGGGAAATCTGTTCTACAGAGCCGCTGTCCTTAGAGGTGGGAGTTATTCTGCATCAGGGCACTGGAGTAAGTACATGCTTCATATTCTATTTAGAAAATTCTAGCTGGTTCAGCATTAGCTTGACTTCTAAGTTAGAGCAGAGTCTTTTTTTTTTTTTTTTTAGCTTGGTTCTAAAAATGACCCCCATACCCACCCCAGATTGTTTTAGAAATACAAATCAAAAAAAGGTGAGAAGATTTTAGAAAATTATAACTTGGCACCTGAGGTTGCAGCAGCTTCTGAGCCTTCTTCATTAACCTCGATGAAGGACTTGTGAATTGCTTTGGAAAGGAAAATCTCCTTGTTATCTGCCAAAAATAAGGGGGGGGGGGGAGAGGGAGCAAAAAGAAGCATTTCTTCAGTATCAGAAATAGAGAAGCATTTTACCCTTTATTTAAACAGCTTTGGAAAATATAAGTGACTTAAGGTACTGATGTAAAATAGAAGAGATAATGTTGTGAGATTATATGATTTCAGAGAAGCCTTGAAGATGTGTTTTCCGATTTGTCCTTATTTCATATTCTCTTGTTAATGTTTCCCTTCATTTTTATTGGTAATTTTCCCATTGTTTATTTCTTATATTGCCAGGGAAAGCAGAATTGTGGCTCTGTTTTTAATAGCAACTTCAAATTAGTTCATAACTCAAGATAAAAACATCTCACACAGTGCACTCTAATCGGAAAATTTTAAAGCACGAAATGAAAACAGGTAGAAAGCCAGATATAACCGGAGTAAGAAATTTTTAAGAATGTAATCTCTAATTAACTGTGATAATAGAAATATCTTTGGCAAAGAAAAACAAAATTGACTTCTAGGTTGTAGAAATGTGAATATAAAAAATTTACTTCCCGTTCCAATTAATTGGCTTATCTGAGGATTCACAAACATGCTTTTAGCCTAAAGTCAGAGGAAATAACACATTTTCGGTGTTAGGGAGGCTGTTTTTCCCTCAGAGTTTTCTTTCTCTGTATGCTTACTTTCAAATTAATGGCTGAATTGTGTTCTCTCAAAATTCGTGTGTTGAAGTTCTAGCCCTTAAGACTTCAGAATATGACTGTATTTAGAGATAGAGTCCTAGGTTAAAATGAGGTCATTAGGGTGGGCCCTGATCCAGTAGGACTGATGTCCTTATATGAAGAGGAAATTCAGACACAGATAGATAGAGAGGGAAAACCATGCCTGATGGCTAATTTGTCAACCAGGTTATCTGTGCCCAGATATTTGGTCAAACTATTATTCTGGATGTTTCTGCAAGTGTGTGTGTGTCCTCATCCAATCAGCTGAAGGCTTTAGAACAAAGACTGATCTCTAAGCAAAAAGGATTTCCGCCAGCTTGGACTCTTCCCTCAATTGCCAGCCCCCCACCCCCTGCAGATTTTAAATTTCCAAATATACCACAAGTGTGTAAGCCAGTTCCTTAAAGTCCATCTCTCAGTCTCTCTCTTTCTCTGTATAGATATAGATATATCTCTCTATATAAATGTACATCCTGTTGGTCCTGTTTATCTGGAGAACGTGAACACAATATGAGCCAAGAGCCAGATACAAGCCGTGGAGAGAAGCCAAAGTAGATACCAAGCCTGAAGCCACCTTGATCTCAGAAGTCCAGCCTCCAGAATGGTGAGACAACAAACATGTGTTGTTTAAGCCACCCAGTCTATGGGACTCTGTTACGGCAGCCCCAGCAACCTATGCAATAGCTTTTAGTCTTGGGTGTCCGACTTTTGTCCCCAAGATCAAAATGAGATGAACAAAAAGATAGCTCAAATACATAAAAAGTAAAATAGCACCAGGAAGCAAGATGAAAGATTACTCAAGTTTCTGCCACCACCCCCTCCCCTTGAAGCCCCCTTTTTCCATTCCAGGAGGTCTAATTCAAATTTAAGATAACTTTGTTGCTGATACACCATTCAGTAAAAGCATAGCGCGTTTCATATTAGGCTACTTAATAGGACTTTGTCAGGAACTCAGTCCTACCCACAACATACATTTTCCTTTCAAGGTTTCAAAAACACATAATTATCTCATACTGATGGGGAATAATGTTCAACAATGTTTTTGGTACATCTCTTGTATTGCACCTGCTTATTTTGAATAAGCCCCAAGATAGCTGAGTGGCAACTCTGAATATACTTTTAATAGGGATATTACTTCCTCGGCTCATATTTAGTATTAAGAAATAAGCATTGCTTTATGAAAGAGTCTGTCTCACATATTATGATATTTTCTTCTAGAATGCACTTGATGACTAGAAGAAAAATAAAAAGCAATAGAGCAGTTACATTAAACAATTAAGTATAATTAGCTCCCTCAAATCCAGAAGACTAGTTTTTTGTTGTTGTTTTTTCCCAACATATAAAAAGAACAGTATAAATTGCATGAAGTAACTAGTCAGATATATTTAGTTGGCAAAACAAATACATGAATTCCAAGAGAGCAAAATATATTAACTATGTAGTAGTTAACCGATGCTCTAACACTTTCAGATTCTGCTGTCCATTTTCTTCAGTCTGCCAGTTAAGGTAGGGTCATGCACCAAGAGCCAGTATTAGGGCCCCGAATGCAAAAGTGACAGGACAATGTAAAAGTGACAGGACGTAGCTCCTAAAGGGTGATGAATGTCCACATTGCCAGCTAAGCCCTCTTTAAATATTCTGAGGGGAGTTCTCAAAGACTCCAAATGATGCTTTAGCCACATTAATTTGCATAGAGGACCTACCTCCTAGCTCCTAGGGCTGATCTGTTGACTGCACTAGACACCTTGAGAGAAGGAATCTCATCCCTTCAACTCCAGCTTCTGCCACAAATGTATCCTCCTCCAGTCACTTAATCTCCTAAGTGCCCTCATTTACCCCCACAAAATGATGGGAGGATGTGGAGGAGGGATACTTCAAGGCACCACGGCAGGTAGATCAAGAAATCAAGGATGCTGAGGATTCTTCCCACAGAACTAGTTTTTTAAAAGATCGTGAAATGGACAAACCTTTAACAGAGTAATTACCCAAATAAACGATATCAAAACAAAAGAAAACATGTCTAAAGATAGAATTTTTAAAAATCACAACAAATATACTTTATATAATTTCCTGCAGATAAATGTGAATCTGCTTTATGAGTTATAACTTATTTACTATGAGCTGCATGTATTTACAATACAATAATTACAGAGAAAGAAAAATATATTTTACAAAACACCACCACAATTGGGTAAGTTTTTTTTTTTTTTTTAAGATTTTACATATTTATTTGACACAGAGAGAGTACAAGCAGGGGGAGCGGCAGGCAGAGGGGGAGGGAGAAGCAATCACCCCACTGAGCAGGGAACCTGATGTGGGGCTACATCCCAGGACCCTGGATCATGACCTGAGCCAAAGGCAGACACTTAACGGACTGAGCCACCCGGCGCCCCTGGTAAGTTTCGACGTATCTGTGAATCACCTCCACAAATAAGATATTAGAATATTTCCATCTCCCCAAAAGATTCTTGTGCTTCTTTATGTAGATAATTTTGAAAATACAGAGATTTTCCATCAACTGGATAATTTTATAGAAATGTATATATTATAAAATTGAATGAAGAAAAGAATAGAATATTTGGATAATCGTAACCATTAAAGTAGTTGAATGAGTAAACAAAAACTTCCTCCCTCCTCAAAATTAAAGAATCTGAGCTTGGGGTGCCTGGGTGGCTCAGTGGGTTAAGCATCCGACTCTGGATTTCGGCTCAGGTCATGATCTCAGGGTTGTGAGTTGGCCTCTGCACTGGGCCTGGAGCATGCTTGGGATTCTCTGGCTCTCTCTCTCTCTCTCTCTGGCTCTCCTCCCTCCCCCTGTCTTAAAAAAAAAAAAAAAAAAAGGAAGAAAGAAAGAAAGAAAAAAGACAGAAAATCCAAGCCTAGCCGGTTTCCTAGGTGATCTAACCAATCCTTCAAGAAACAGGATTTTCTGTTATAAGTCCATTTTAAACTCTAGAAAGAGAATGAAAGCAATTTAAGTCATCTATGGATAGTCTTTCCCTTATATTAAGATTGAACCAGAGCAGTTTAAGAAAAGAGAATCATAGGCCAAACTCACCTATTAGCATAGAGATGAAAGTCGTTTTTTTTTTTTTTTTTTAAATCAGGAAGTTAAATCCAGTGACATATGCAAATACTTTTCTAAAATGAGTTTTCAAGGGACGTCACAGTGTGTAATGACACAGCAGTCGAGAACTGCTCTGACTTGGCTCCCTTTCACATTAAGCCTCCTCTGGGATGATCTCATCAGACACAGGCCAGTTGATGCCACACAAGCCAACTTAAAGCCCAGTCTCCGTTCTCGTGCTGGCTCTGCCTCCCACCTCGCCTTGGGTACACCTCGTGCCTGCAGACCTCAGGGTGCAACGTGAGGGTACCTCTGCGTCTCTCATTCAGCCTGTTTCACTCCACCCACTGTGCTCCAGATCATTTGAACTGCAATCCCCTAAACGTACCGTGCTGGGTCACTTCTGTGTCTTTGCTTCCTCACAATCTTCCTGCACCCTGTACGGTCAGTCAGACACCCAATCTACTTGTAAGGCCCGCCTTCTGCTCTCTTCCGATTGCTGTTCTCCACTAACATAGATCTAACCACTCTTTCCTACGGAACCCAGGCTCAGATTCTGTTAAAGCCTTTGATATATCATATTTGCATTTATATCTCCTCTTCCTGGACTGTGTCACTCACTGCCCTTTGTGTCCCTGGCTTCTGGCATTCGGGCGGCCTAATGGCTGAACTAACCTAAGAAGAGAGTTTCCTGGTAATGTGTAAGTTTCCAGAATTTAACCTAGCATAAACAGAAATCTAGGAATTGGGGGCACCTGGGTGGCTCAGTTGGCTAAGCATGTGCATCGGCTCAGGCTGTGATCCCAGAGTCCTGGAATCGAGTCCCACATCCGGCTTCCTGCTCCGTGAGATGCCTGCTTCTCCCTCTGTCTCTGCCTCTCTCTCTCTCTCTTATGAATAAATAAATAACATCTTTTTTTAAAAAAAAGGAATTTAGTAATTGTTGAATGAAAGGGACTAGCTATTTCCTACTGTAAGACTTTGGATGTTGTCACTGTATGGGCACCATGACCGCAATTCTATTCAGAAGTATGGCTGTGAAGTTTATTCTTGTAATAAATCAAACATGTGACACTAATCTAAAGTAGAAGCTCTAGGAGAATTGACGGACGGCAGCACTAGAGAGGAAAGAACACAAAGGCCACACACATGCTAAAAAACTTAAAAATACAATCGAGGGGAAGAACTTAGGGAATGGGATCCAACAGACCGGTGGCATCATATG